GAAATGTGGTGGACAGGGGCAAAGAACAAGGTCTGCTCATCCCACTCTGGGAACCGACCAAGCGAAGTGAACGGTGTAGTGTCGTCCTCCACGGGCTCATGCTCCCGTCTAGTGTTTCGGGACCGTGAACCTGAGCCTCGTTGTCTAGCCATGCTACATTGTGCAGAATCATCATAAATTAAGGTTCTATAGTATCTAAAGGTTTGCCTAGCCGCATGATACTATGTTCGCAAAAACAGAGTACGTAGTACTAAAACAGAGCACAAATTCAAATTAAGTATGACAGTATTTTTTCAAGCAATCAAACAATTTCTTGCAACACTATAGTGATTATTGTGACAAATTGAACAAGAATTGCTAGCAAAAACATCAAGAACGAGCCACATTGTTCTTCACGACCTTAAGAGGTTCAACAATGGTGGATTGCTCATTTCTTCACCAAATTGAGTCAAACAAGTCTCAAATTACTCCCAAGGCAATATACAAACATAAACAAGCAATTTCATGGCATAAAATTTGATAAACAAAGCAAATTGAGCATTATAAGTTTCGAATTTTCATGAAATTCGTGAATGAACATGCCAAGAATTCATAAAAGCCGGTGTGATTTGGAGGAAAACTTAAATAGATCGGGAATATGGATAAGAAGAGCTTTGATTTGCAACAAATTTGAGCGAATTTGGTTGAGAAACGAATGAGCAACGATCAATTGAAGTTTCGACTTCTTTCGAGCAGCGTTCGCAACAAACCAGAGCACGAAATGAACTGAAAACGGGAATTTAAAGTGATTCCCGTGCTGGCGCCAGTCCCTAGGCATTGGCGTCACATTCTGTGCTTGGCGCCAAACGCCAATTTCAGCGCATGGCGCTAATGCAATAAGGCTGGCGCTGATTGATTTTTAGCGATGCCAAAGCAGCCAGCCACCTGTTGGGGTTGTGCTAGCTTTCTGCAACATATTTTGGGTTCCTTGGTACGCCAGTTAGCCCCTTTAAGCAATTTGACATGATTAGGTAATCGGCTTGATTACGTAAAGTGATCGACCTGATGGAAAGATCGTCTCACTAAGCTTAAAGCGCCTAAGCATTGGCTCATTAGCAAAAAGCACCGACATACAGGTTCAAGAGCAAAAAGCACCGACATATAGGTTCAAGAGAAAAAGAGCTCCGACGTACAGGCATAGAAAAGGCAAGTTCAGGCGAACTTTTAAAGATCGACAGGCGTGGATCTTCGGTATTTTCCTTTGGAAAATTATCGCATAAAATGAGGATGACTTCAAGAGAAGATGTCTTCGACATCATTCCCTAGCTTGCGGAAGGTTGTCACAAACAACTGAAGGTAATTTCGGGCGAAATTGTCTTCGATCATAGTTCCTGAGGCATGGAAGATGATCGTAATGCGGATGAGAATTATTTCAAGAGAAATAATTTTCGATGATATTCCCTTGGACGTGGAATATTATCACAGCGGAGAAGGTAGTTTCAAGCGAAGCAATCTTCTAATTGGAAGCAATTACAAGGCGTAGCGGTTTTCAGGCGGGATGGCATTCTCTAGCTTGCAGGAGGTCATCAAAAAAGCAACATACGGCAACATGTGGTTACTTTCAGAGACGTGTGCTCGACGGTGCAAGATACGCGTTTCTTAACTCTTTTATCTGTTTAACTAAATGCTAGTTTTGCAGGTATCGGCGTTACAAGATTGATTTAGGATTGCATAACGTTCTGAATCATTGTCCGTCCCTATCGATACTTTGACTTTCGTTTTCGAAACTTGCGTTTCTCCAAACTCAGTCAAAGTGGGGGCTTCTGTAGACACCCATTTGTGTATCCCCAAAACCAAACCCAGTGATGAGTACCTTTCGCGTCGAATCATAATCGAATGAAACGAAAGTGTGGAAAGGTCTAGTGTTGCGGAAAGTTTTATTTCTTTTCTCTTCTTCCTGTTTTTGAAAACTTTATTTTAAAGAAAACAGCCAATCCAGTTGGGTTAGTCCATGATATGGGTCCAATAGTGGTGTAGTTGGATGGGGCTTGCAAAGACCTTTCCAACGATATATTATAAGCCCAATTCCAATTAATATTGAGGAAGTTATGGCCAATTTACTAAACTGGGCCCGGTTTGAGCTTTATGTACGGCCCAATGATCTAGGGGAGGGCCTAATATGATTTATCATTCCTAATGCAATTAGGAACGGTTTTAGTCTTCTAGAACATTCTAGAAGGTTCTTTTCATTCCTAATTTAATTAGGACTTTTTAGAGTTTTTAATTGGATCAAATAGCATTTTCGACTGAAATTATATTATTTTATCTTCCCGTACAGAAAATTTATCAGATTTTCGAAAACGCGTTGAAATCCAATTTGGCGTCCAACCCCAGGCCTTGGCGCCTGGAACCAGGATTGGCGCCAAACGCCAGCATTGGCGCCTGGCGCTAGCCACTGGTCCTGGCGCAAATGAGCCAGGGCTGGCGCCAAGGTTAGTTTTCGATTTTCAGGCTCTGTTTTGATAAAATTATCTTTTTTGGCTGATTTTCTCTATAAATATCGTATTAAAAACTCCGGTTTCATACACCAAGATTCATCAATTACCAACTATCTTCATCATTCATCATCTACATCTATCGTTCACCAATTCTCTTTATTCTTAAGTTTTCATCAACTCTCTTCATTCATCTCTTTCAATAATCCTTTTCATTCATCTCTTCATTCATCAACTTTCATCAACATTAATTCTTTCTTCTTTTCTTACTTTGCTTTTTCATACAAAATTCCGCATTCATTAGATCTAGAAACACCTAGCTATATTCGAAGTTGCCTTCGCCCTAGACGTGAAAGGTTTTAATTTCTGAGGGTTTGGTCCCAAATCTCTATTTCAATTATTTGATTTAATTGCTTTGATTATTATTTTCCTTGAAGTTACTAACGTGTGTATTTTGTTATTAGAAAGAGGTACGAGGCATCCAAGTAAGTGCTTTAATTGATTAATTGATATTATGATGTAGATATCATGCTTAGATTGTTATTTTAATTCCTAGTATCATGTGTAGGGTAAATTTAATATCAAGTATGATTACAAGCACGATGCTTCCTATATTCTTCCTAATATTTATGATTGTTAGTATCATGTTAGGGCTAAAGCTTTGATTTTTATTGCTTAGTGACATGCTAGGGTTTGTTATTAATCTTGTTAGTATCATGCTTAGGATCTTGCTATTGCTTGATCACACCTTTTATTGCATGCTTAAAGGGAATTGGTACTTGCAACCACGCTTAATAAGATAATTAATAATCTTGTTTAGGGTTAATTGTGATTATAATTCAAGTGATCGCCAATAATAGATTTATTTGTGCATTAATATTCAACCAGCATAGATTAAACAGGTTTAGGGTTGATCCTATTGATTGTATGTTAATCAGAAAGCGCACATGAATACGAGCAGAATAAAGTAGAGGCCTATTATTAGGGCAAGTTCAATCTCTTTTAGGTTGGATTTGTACCTTCATCCCCGAACCCTTATTTGGTTCATGACCTTATGGAGTTGACGATCTCTTGGATCGTTAAAGGGTGTAACCTTCACCTCGTGATGGTTTACAAGTTCCTTAAAAACTTGTTGGCGACTCTTTTGCTCTATCATCTTCCCTTTTGGACGCCACCGTACTTTAGTGTATGATCACAGTGGAGTTCAATCTAGTAGGATTTTTAAAGGCTTGAAACTATTCCCTACAATGGCATAGTTTTATCACATCATATGCATCTTGAATAAATCCAGCACGACCAAAGATGTCCACCAAGAAAGAATAATGGAGAACACTTTGTGATATGTTGTGTTCTCTCACCATAAGATCAAAGTATTTATGCCCTTCTTTAACTAGCCCCATATGGCCACAAGCAGATAGAACTGAAAGATAAGTCACTTCATTTGGGTACAAACCCGTTTGCTGCATCTTCTCAAAAAGAATCATCGCTTCCAAGCACCGACCATGACTAGAGAAACCTGAAATCATTGCATTCCATGAAACAACATTCTTGCTATCTTGATCAGAAAATACAGTGAAGGCTTCTTTAATGGCTCCACATTTCGCGTACATATCAACAAGAGAAGAAGCCACAAAAACGCTAGCACCAAAATCGGACTTAAACAAAGTGGCATTCACTTGGTTCCCTTCAGTCAAAGCGCCTAACCCTACACAAGCAGAAAAAACAGAAGAAAGGGTAAACTGGTTTTACTCTATCCCAACAGCTTGACCTCTATGATACAACCTCAAAGCCTCTTCATAAAGCTCATTTCGAACATAACCTGCCACCATCGAGCTCCATGTAACATCGCTCTTCTCCTCTAAGCTCTCGAAAACCCACGAGGCCTCCCCCATAAAATTTCATTTCGAGTAAACATCAATCAAAGCAGTCCTAACATACACATTAGACTCTATCCCCTTCTTAACAGCAAAAGCATGCAGTTGTCTGCACTCAAAAACGGCAGATTTTGCTGCACAAGCACAAAGCACACTCGAGACAGTAAACTCACTCAAAGGGGATTCCTCTCTTTGCATTCCTACAAAGAGGGATAAAGCATAATCTGCCCTTCCATTCTGGGTATATGCCCCAATCATAGTGTTCCAAGAAACCAAACTTCTTTTAGGCATTTTATCGAACAATTGACGAGCAGGGTGAAGAAGGCTGCATTTGCAGTACAAATTGATAAGCATATTTGATGTTAAAGTATCAACACCTAAACTAGCTCGAATGATTTGAGCATGGCAAGCTTTTCCTTCAACAATTAAACAGTTTCTTGCACAATATTGCAAGAGATTCTGCAAATACGTTATCGCCGCCATTGAAGATGAATTTCGATGCTTGATTGCACGATCTATAAGTGTTGCTCAGACGTTGTTTGCAACATTACAGATAACCAACTCATATTTAGTACGCCGTTTCTTCTTCTCAGATAACCAACTCATATTTAGTGCTAAAATATCAAGTGAGATTAAGAAACTAACAGAAAAGATGGATTGTGCAACTAAAAACCATAATGATTTTGGGTTTAGTAAGTTGTATAAACCTGTTAAGATTAGAGAGAAAACATGTTCTTATGTGTTTGAAAATGATATTATTGGGAGAGATGCTGACAAGAAGATCATTGTGGATGTGTTGTTAAAAGATGACTTGGAGGAAAATATTTCTTTTGCGACTATTGTGGGGACTAGGGGGCTGGGTAAACTTCTCTTGCACAACTTGTGTATAATCAGTGGCAGATTCAAGATTCCAAACTAGGGGTAGCACTGAACCAAAGGATCAGAAAAAAAAAATTTATACACCTATTACCCTGAAACTCAAACTAATTTTAAGCTGATAATAGCACATCAGGTTAATTTTTTGCATATTGTATTGTGATTGTGTCTAAAAAGTTACCATCAAAATTTTGAATAACTATAGATTTTATGCCGAGTTATTATCACAGATAAATTATACATGTACACGAAATATTTTGTATTACAATCATATAAAATTATTAACTTTTTGTACAGACAAATTATCCATACTATTAATGTTCTTAATCAATTTTTTATGGGAGTTACTTTTATCTAATTGAAATTAAATATCAAAAAAGTGGAAATTAATAATTTGAGAAGTATCAATATTGTATGGAAGTCATTTTTATCTAAATCTATTTGAATATAAATGTCAAGAAAGAAAAAAAAAAGTGTCAAGAAAAAGGGAAGTAATTTTGGGATTGAAAAACAATGAAGCAATCTTTAAAAAAATAGAATTGATAGTTTTCGGGAAAAAAAAAAATGAACCCAAAAAACGCATAGGAGCAGATTTGAACCCCAGCCCAGCTGGCCAAGAAAGTTTTAGTCATCCCCTAAGTTACCACTGAAGCAACTCCAATTCTCTCATAAGGCATGCATTATTTAATCTATATTTGTATTTCAGGCATTTTTGTAAAACAGTTATTTTTTTCGGGGGTAGCACGTGCCCCCCGGGTCACAACGTGGATCCGCCAGTGTGTATAATGATTGTAGAATCAAAGAGGCATTTCAAGGAAATATGTACTGGGTTTGTGTGTCTGAGAATTTTAGCATGAAAGATACCTTAGGTAAGATGATTAGTAGGGAGGTACTTGAATTCGAGGATCTATATTTGAAACTTCGAAATAAGATAGAAGGGAAAAGGTACTTTCTTGTTTTAGATGACGTATGGTCTGAGAATGGTAGAAAGGGGGAAGGGGAAGTAGGATCTTGGTGATTAGCCACTCCAAAAAGGTAGCAGAATGTATTGGAAACTATCTAATTCATGCGTTACCTAGTCTTGCAGAAAAGGACTCTTGGGAACTGTTCAAGAAAATATCACTTAGAGAAAGGGAAGACGTTGCAGTCATTGATCTAGTTGAGATAGGAAAAGAAATTACGAAAAATTGTGTCAATGTGCCTCTCTCCATAAGGGTGGTTGCAAGTTTGTTGTATAATCAAGATATAGCAATTTGGCAGTCATTCGGAAGTATTGATTTGGCTAAATTAGGTAATGATGACGACGACATAATGCCAACATTGATGTTTAGCTATTATCATCTTGCTCCAGAGCTAAAGAGTTGCTTTAGCTATTGCTCACTCTTCCCCGAGGACTAAGTCATTTGGAAATCGGAGTTAATTTGTCACTGGATGGCACAAGGATATCTTGTTCCAAGCTCTAAAAATGAGAGCATGGAAGATGTCGGTGAAAAATATGTATCAATTCTATTACATAAATGTTTTTTCCAAGACATTAAGTGTAATGAAGTTGATGAAAATTATTCATTTAAAATGCATTATCTCATACATGACCTTGCTAGAAAAGTAGCAAAAGAGTCTGCAATGTTCACAGAATGTAGGAATGATTTAGAAGAGAAAGTTTGCCATCTAGTAATTGATAGTAATGAAGGCCTGACTACCTGGTTTCGCTCAAGCAATTATCCAGGTAAAAGTTTGCGTACCTGCTTGAGCTTTCGTGATTTGACAAATAGTGATGTAAATGATATAGTTTCAAATTGTAATCAATTAAGGGTTCTTGCCTTGATTTATTTTACCACTAAAACAATACCAGATAAATTTTGTAAATTATTACACCTGAGGTACCTTGATCTGTCAAATAATGATAACTTAGAGGTGCTCCCTAAATCGATCACTAAGCTTCACAATCTACAAACTTTAAAAACTATCAAGTTGTCTATCTCTAAAGGAGTTGCCTGAGGACATAAAAAAACTAGTAAATCTTAGAGTGTTGGACATAGAAGAGTGTTATGGGTTGACTCATATGCTGGCAAGGATGGATAAATTAATATATCTTCACAAACTACCGTTATTTATAATTGTATATGGATGATGGACTAAGGCGTCTTAAAATAGGCAATCTCATAGACTTGATTGCTCTTTTTAATAGCCTCGCAGGTTTTTATCGCTGTTTGTCATGAAATTCATGATGGAAACAGAACCAATGTGTCAAACTCAGATTATATGGCTGCCAACCTAAAGTCTTTAAAATTGAAATGTTATTTAGTTTTTTATGACAAAGGAGGTCAGGAGTCATTGCTGGAGAGCCTTTTATTCAATAACCAATTTCACGAGATTAGGGTTGAGAATTATGATGGTACCCTATTACCAAGTTGGGCCCCATCCAAATACACTATTATTGGACCCATATCATGGACCAACCAATCTGGATTGGCTGTTTTCTTAAAATAAGTTTTCAAAAATAGAGAGAAGAGAAAAGAATTAAAAATTTCCACACTTTCACTTCATTCGATTATGATTCGACATAAAAGGTACTCATCACTGGGTTTGGTTTTGGGGAGACACAATTGTGTGTCTACAAGTTGCAATGCTTCCCAACATCACTAAGACAACTTTGTCAACTCAAATATCTTAAACTTGGGTTTATGAAGAATAAAGAGTACATAGAGAGTGATGCACCATCTTCATCATCTATATTCTTCCCCTATCTTGTGGAGTTACTGTTGGAAAAAAAAACCTTTTGGTTCCATGAATAATAATTGACAAATTAAGAACTTCCTTGGAACAAATTCGATCGCCATACTCGAACCAAATACTTGTTCTCCTTCAATTGTGCTGTGGTTTAGAACCCACTGACTAAGAAGCGAAATACGCTACCACCGGTACAAGTATCCTAGTGACGCACGCCCCCCAAGTTTTACACTGAAGAATATTATTATTATTATTATTATTATTATTATTATTATTATTATTATTATTGTTATTATTATTATGGGGATTTATAAATAATTATAATGAGTAGTTTTAATTATATAAAATCATATTTTTAATGATGTTTATGAGAAATTAATTTAAAAGGTTCATGTACATATAGTTGGGGGTTTTTAATTATTTGTTAACCTTATATTGATTAAGGTTATTTTTATTTGTAGGGCGCGTTCGATCAAGATTCTTGAGGTTTTTTTGGTGTGTTTTGCTAAGCAAGAATCAAGGTACGTTAGGTGGCTAGATACCTTAAAAGTGATTGGTTTGAATAAGCCTGTTTGAATGATTTTATGATGATTGAATTAAAGTAATTTAATTCAATTATGATTTATGAAATAAAAGTATGTTTAAATAATTAGTTTTAATAATTAAACTTGAGTATTGATTTCATATCATGTTTTACATAATTAAAATTATTATTCATGTTTAAAAGGTTTGATTTTGAAAACATGTGGAATTAAATAAAAAGGAGTTTGAATGATTATTATTATTATTAAAAGTTTTTTTATTGGATTTAAAGAGGATCGATTTATTGAATTATTATTATTAAAGTTTTATAAGCATGTTAGTAATCCCACTATGCGGATTTGGTTTATTTGATAAGAGTTTGGACTTTGTATGACCGAGTCTTTCCTCAAGCATAGCCTTGTAACATAAGGAGACTAGCTTGGGAGTGTGCACACTTGGGTGAGGAATTGGTTTTAAAGAAATTGATTTAAATGAGGAATTGGTTTTCTTAAATTTGACTATGGATTATTATTATTGAAATTGGTTTTGGAATTATTGGTTTAATTATTGGAATGGATGAAATTGATTTCAAAAGCATGTTTGCAAATAAATTGAGTTTACATTATCTTGCACTTAGCATACTTAGCATATTTTACTAACTAGTATTTCTTATTTTGTTTTGGTACGCCTTGTTTACCGTAACGGTAAGCAGTGTTGACTAATTTTAGGTGGAGTCAGTGATTGAGCATTTGGAGTCCCGGGAATAGTTTCACCTAGATTAGAAAATGTTGGTCTTTATGTTTATTTTGAGTACTCATGATTATAGTTACTATTTATGGTTTATTATTAATAAAAGAAGAGTATTGAAGTGTTCCGCTGTAAAGTATTGGTTTTGTTTAGTAAGTTTTGAGTAGCCTTGCGTAATCACGCGGCGGTAATACGCCCAAGTCTATCTCTATGGTATAATTATACGTATTATACTGGTATTTCGGCAGAGGGAGATTTGGGGTATTAAACCCTTTCCTTTGCCCTCAATAATTGCGATCCCCCTCTTGGATTTAGAATAATTTCGGAGTTAGGGTTTTAGGTGAGGGTTGGAGTTTCAGGCTAACAGGGGATTTATGTGGAGGGTGGCTTAGGGTTTTGGTTTCAAGAGAGGGTGGGAATACAAGTTTCAATCGAGGGATCAGGGATGGGTTACGGGTTTCAAGTGAGTGTCTGGGGATAGCGATTAGTGCTTCTTCGGGTGTTCAACAAGCCTAATGCGAGTTTCAAGTGGTGGTCAGGCTGGAGGGTTTTAAGCGATTTTGTTTGCTGGCGGTTGGGGGAAGATTGGGCGCCGACAAGGAGGCTGTGTTGGACGCTTGTAGTGAAAGGGGAAGGGGAGAGGGAAACACTAGTTGATGTGGGTGGTCTGGTAGGAGGTTGACTGTCTCGGTGGCAGGAGAAGGGGAAGTGATGGTTGCTTTTTTATTTCTCTTTAAAAAGTTGATTTGATTTGATTTTTTTTATACTTTGTTATTTAAGACCAATAGGGTGGTGTCAAGTGGGCCCTCAATTGGAAAACTGGCCGGAATATTAGAGGGTTGGTGAAACCTACCGATTTTTTAAATTATGGGTAATATTTTTTATTTTTTTAAAAAAGGATGGTTAATTAAACATCTAATGTATAATTTAAGAGTCATTTTCACAACTTCTCACCACATCACTCCAAAACCCAATTCCTCAATTCTCATTCAATCCTTTTTTTTTCTTTTTTTTTTTTTTTTTTTTGCTCTTCAAATAACTTTCAACCTGTCATTTTTTTAAAAATAAATAAAAATACCCTCCTAAAAAAACTTCCACTGTTATTTTTCCTAATAACACACACTACCCCAAAATACTACCAACGTAATATCTTATTATATTACCCAATTTCTTTTTAAAAACACCAATATTACAATAATTGCACATGTTTTTCCAAAATTATGTGTACTCTTTTTTTTAGTAATATCGCTACAATAAGTTCCACTATTTACCTCTTTAGAAATTCTTCCAATTGTTTATTTATATTTTTTAAAATCAGTTAACTATCTTATTATTAATTCAATAATCATCGAAATAAAAGATACATACATAATGTTTTTTTTATGTGACAACATGGTTTTTTTTTTTTTTTTTTTTTTTACGACAAATAGACTGGAGTAACCCCTATAATATTGACGGAGTAACCCTCTATAACACAAAACACATAACCCTTATAACATTGGCGGGATAACAACAATAACTCAACGGGAAACTCCTATAACATTGACAGAGTAACCTCTATAACACTGATAAAGTAACTTCTATAATATCTAGCTACACGGACTATCCAGACACATAAAAGAGTCAGTTGTTATAGCACAAACAACTTCACGTATTTAAAATATATTTTTGTTATTGGATTTTTGTATTGTCTTTCTATAAAATATATATTCCGTGCATTTTGCACGGGTGCACTCTAGTAAGGTATATTTAGGGGTGGTTAATTACAAAAAATCTTACAATTTACCATCCTTAAACTACATATTGATTAAACCGATACATTTAAAAAAATTAAAAGAAAGAGGGCTATCAATTTATGATCCCATCCTACTAGGGATTTCTACTACTCTCCCTCTCAACTATTCAACTCATGAGAGAACAATTTAGAATTTTCATTTGACCCTTGACAATTACAAATCCCATCAACCATCACATAGTACAAATTCTATCGTCATGGGGCAACTCTCAAAATAAAAACATTTTTCTTTTTTCTTAATTGATGAATTGTCAAAAATCCAATTTAAAAATATTTCTCCACCCTAACTTGTGCAAACCACGCGCCCCTTTTACTGGCTTGCCCCACCTTTACAACCTAAAAAAAACAACACCGCCTACAATAATATTCTCAATTCCATTTTTAAAAAAAAGTCAAACTTTCTCATTAAATCACATCCGTTCATTTCATCCTTCTTCAACCATCAACGGCAGAAACCTCTTCATTCTACCACATCTAAACTACCCGCGTCACACCAGATAACTCCTCGAAAAGCTGAAAAAATATTCCCCAAAAATAACAAAAACAGACATAAATACCACCATTTTCCTTCTTCTTCTTCCCCATTTTTTCTCTGAAAAAATTA